TGGGGGGAGGGGCAAAGGGAAAGGGAGAAGCAGACTCTCCACTGAGCAGGGAGCCCGAAGACCTGAGGCTTGATCCCAGGACCCTGGGATCATTACCCGGGGCGAAGGCAGATGCTTAAATGACTGAGCCGCCCAAGTGCCCCCAGAGCATTGTCTTACAAGTCACGTATTATTGTCTTAAAATGTCTTAGGAGGTTTTATTTTATTTTATTTTATTTTTTAAAGATTTTATTTATTTGACAGAGAGAGACACAGCAAGAGAGGGAACACAAGCAGGGGGAGTGGGAGAGGGAGAAGCAGGCTTCCCGCCAAGCAAGGAGCCCAATGTGGGGCTCGATGTGGGGCTCGATCCCAGGACCCTGAGACCATGACCCGAGCCGAAGGCAGACGCTCAATCACTGAGCCACCCAGGCACCCCTATCTTAGGAGATTTTAAATGCTTAAGAAACAAAAGTTCAAAATACTGTAAATAAATTGGAAGGTGGTTAATGAAGTTGAGGTGTTCTAAGATCCCTGCATCATTGGAGAAGAATGTAAAAGTACTAATTAACGTAAGAATTTGACAAATGAAAGATCAATGCTCTATTTAGTATCATGATGAAAACCAATAATTTTTTTCTTTTCTTTTTTATTTTTAGAGATTTTATTTTTAAGTAATCTCTACACCCAACATGGGACTTGGAGAACTTACAACCCTGAGATCAACAGTCACATGCTCCACCAAATGAGACAGCCTGGCATCCCCCAATAATTTTTTTTTCTTTTTTCTTTTTTTAAAGATTTTATTTATTTGAGAGAGAGGTTGAGAGAATGAGTGGGAGGAGGGGCAGAGGGAGAAGCAGACTCCCCGCTGAGCAGGGAGCCCATTGTGGGACTCCATCCCAGGACCTTGGGATCACAACGTGAGCTGAAGGCAGACGCTTAACTGACTGAGCCATTCAGGCGCCCACCCCCCAATACTTTTCTTAAAGTACATAATTTGCAGTGCTTTCGGAAGAGGGAAAGGTAATGAGAAACTCATCCAAAGAAGGTACGATTCTGGTATCAATTCCAATGTGTTTTATTTTTAACACATTACCATTTTACTTATTATAAGAGGATATAACTCAGGAATAGTCAGATGGAAGAAATGAGGGAAATGGGAAGGATTTTCCAGGCCCTCTCCAGTAGCTCCACTCTCCCTGCATCTCCGTGTTTTCACCAACCAGGAAGAAATTTCACTGTGAAGTATATGATATTTATTCCTCCAAAAATAAAGGTATATTTTTACCAGAAGACATGGATAAGAATTTTAGTAACAGCATTATTCAAAATGCAAATGATGCCAGTTTAATAAATAGTAAGGAAATCTGCATATATTCAAACAATGGACTGCTATGGAGAAACCACATTTTTTGCCCAGATTGCAAACTAAGAATGCTCCTTATATTTTTAAGGATTGTAAAACAAAAACAAGCATATGTGGGACACCCATAGATCGCAAATCCCAAAATATTTACTGTGTGAATATGTATATAATACATAATGTCTGACCCTCTTTACAAAGGGAAAAGAAAATCTATGTGCAAAAACATGAATGATTCTGACAAATACTGAGCAAAAGACTTGACATAAAAAGTGCATGATGTATGGGACGCCTGGGTGGCTCAGTCGTTAAGCATCTGCCTTCGGCTCAGGTCATGATCCCAGGGTCCTGGGATCGAGTCCCACATCGGGCTCCTTGCTCAGTGAGGAGCCTGCTTCTCCCTCTCCGTCTGCTGCTCCCCCTGCTTGTGCTCTCTCTCTCTCTCTGACAAATAAATAAGTAAAAATCTTAAAAAAAAAAAAAAAAAGTGCATGATGTAGGGGCGCCTGGGTGGCTCAGCTGTTAAGTGTCTGCCTTCGGCTCAGGTCATGATCCCAGGGTCGTGGGATCGAGCCCAGCATTGGGCTCCCTGCTCAGCCGGAGGCCTGCTTCTCCCTCTCCCACTCCCCCTGCTTGTGTTCCCTCTCTCGCTGTGTGTGTCTCTCTCTCTGTCAAATAAATAAATAAAATATTAAAAAAAAAAAAAAAGAAAGAAACCACTCAGCAGATTTTCACATATAGCTGCCTAGAACTGCACGATATAATAATATACTAAGCTCATTCACAGAAATTCCGTCATCAGCAATGGGAACTGGACCCACCATGATTGACTAAGACCAACCAGCACTTACTAATAAACTGAGCTGTGGGTCACCTTGCCAGAGGGAGGGATGCTGAAGAAAATGGAGACTCTGTTGGCAAAGAACAGCCAGTAAGCAACAGGGTTCGCCGCTGGTATGTGCTAAGAGGTGAGCGTTACCCATTTTCAACTTTAAGGTCTCTGCCCCAATACTCAGTTCTTCCTTTGCTGCGGGAAAGCAGCCATAGATGACGCCTAACAGACGGGGAATGGGGTGGCGGTTTCGTCCCTCCGTCTGCAGGTAATCCCTGGACAAAAGGCTTTAAACACACACACAGACACCCCCCCAGGGGTTTTGAACTATAAACCCCCCCACTGCACCCCAACCACACACAGATCTGCCTGGTCCGCCCCCCAGTACCTCAAATCACGGTCCCACCTGCTCCTCCTTGAACACCTCCACCTCTGCACTTGTAGGCTCCCCTTCCGCCCCCGGCAATGACTTCACGGGTCCCTACCACAGCATGTCCGCACGTCCCCCTGTGAGAAGCAAAACCCCCACTGTGACGAAACAAAAACCTTCCAGAGGCAAAACCGCACACCGACCTGGTTTCTGTCAGGCCCAAGGGAAAAACGGAAACGTTGACGTTCCGTGAACTGCTCAGCGCGTGGCGGCCCAGGCACCCGAGGCTTCCGGAGGAGCACGAACGACGACTTCCGGTGTTTCTGGAGAGGCAACATGTCCGCCGCTCCTGGCGGCCGTGGGGGCGGCCATGTTGGGACGTCCGACTGCGCAGGGCAAAGGGCTGGGTTCGCGGCCAGAGCGGTTGAAGGCCGGGAAGGTGAGGAGCTCCCGCGATTATCTCAGATCCTCAACGTGCACTTTGGCGGAAGATCGGTAAGTTGTCAAAGTCTGGAGCCTGGGGAGGCGAACGTGGTGCAGGCTCCATTGCGTTCCCCAGGCTGGACAGGAGGCAACATGGCCGAGAGGTATATTTATCCGGTTCGTATTCAAAAAAAAAAAGTTTCCAGGGGTGCCTGGGTAGCTGAGTCTGTTAAGCCTGCCACTCTTGATTTCTGCTTAGGTCATAATCTCAGGGTCCTGAAATCACCGCCCCACCCCAGCCCACCCCCGAACCCCCTTCCCGCGTGGGGCCCGTCCTCAATGGGGAGTTCGCTTGAGATTACCTCTCTCCCTCTGCCCCTTTCCTGCCCCACCCCAGCCCCAACACACACTTTCTCTCAAATAAATCAATCTTAAAAAAAAAAAAAAAAAGGTTTCCAGGGGCGCCTGGGTGGCTCAGTTGGTTGGGCGACTGCCTTCCGCTCAGGTCATGATCCTGGAGTCCCGGGATCGAGTCCCGCATCGGGCTCCCTGCTCGGCGGGGGGTCTGCTTCTCCCTCTGCCCTCTTCCCTCTCGTGCTCTCTGTCTCTCATTCTCTCTTTCTCAAATAAATAAATAAAAATCTAAAAAAAAAAAGGTTTCCATACGGAGGAGTAGGAATTCAAGTACGGACAGAGCAGCAGAGAATGAATTCCTGGTAAGAAAAATACATCTGTAAACGGACACCCACTGAAACCTTATGGCGAGAAAGATTGCTTGCAAAAGCAGTTTTTAAGAACACAAGATTCCCAGAAACTGGTACAGTGTGAGGGATAGGCCATTACCTGCTCAAGAGGAAGAGCAGCTCGAACAACCTAAATTGGGATTGGGGCCTGGGAAAAAGTCCAAGGCCACCACGATCAAGGCCTGGGGAAAAGGCCACCAAAATCAAGGCCAACAAACCTGGAGCCAATGAGAAAGACACCACCTGAATCCATCCCATTATACTGTGAGGGTGGTGGTGGGCAATAATTCAGTTTTTAGGGTGAAGAGTGCTAAAATTAGGTGTTCATCAGGCCAGTGTTGAAAGTTAGAGTCCTAGGGCGCCTGGGTGGCTCAGTTGGTTAAGCGACCGCCTTCGGCTCGGGTCATGATCCCGGAGTCCTGGGATCGAGTCCCACATCGGGCTCCCGGCTCAGCGGAGAGCCTGCTTCTCCCTCTGACCCTATCCCCTCTCATGCTGTTTTTCTCTCTCTCTCTTTCAAATAAATAAATAAATAAAATCTAAAAAAAAAAAAAAAAGTTAGAGTCCTAGACTCCAGCCTCAGAGATTCTGGTCTAGGACGCGTGGGGTGTGATTTAGTTTGCATTCTTTTAAGTTTCTCAGATCTGAGACAAAAGGCCTGTCATAGACAATCATTAGAAACAATTGTAAAGTGTTCTATGGTTACAAATATTATGAGGGGTGATTCCCCTCACCACTTCTGTCTTGGCTCAAGTTATATCCAGAAAAGCCCAGGGAGGGGTGAGGAGGGGGGAAGAACCTCCCCTATTACTACCTATACATTACTGTTAATTAGTATTACTGGGCTTTTTCGGTTTTTTTTCTTTCTTTTTTTTTTTTTTTAAAGATTTTATTTATTTATTTGAGACAGAGAGAATGAGAGCACATGAGAGGGGGGAGGGTCAGAGGGAGAAGCAGGCTCCCTGCCGAGCAGGGAGCCTGATGCGGGACTCGATCCAGGGACTCCAGGATCATGACCTGAGTCGAAGGCAGTCGCTTAACCAACTGAGCCACCCAGGCGCCCTAGGCTTTTTCTTCATAGCATTTATCGCTTCCTAAGATTATATAATCCACTCTCTCCCTGACTAGATTGTAAGGTGTATAAAGGCTGTTCTGTTGCCTGTTCTGTTCAGTAATGTATCCTCAGTGTGCAGAACAGTGCCTTGCATAGTGTTGGTGCTTCAAAATATATCTGAAGGAATGAATACCAACAACCTGGTATTTCAGATTGAATGCCGAGATAGCCACAGGATGGGAAATTACTTTTCCTTTGAGAGAACTGTTTGTAACTTGGATAGGTGGATAACTATGTGGTATTTATGAAAATAAGGCAAAGTACTCAATAGTGAGAGGCCAAGAGCCCCACTCCCAGAAGAGGGAGAAGGAATAATGCAGAGAAAGCATGTGTCTCAATTCAGCAGCGAACAGTGCAGCTGGAATCTTTGATGCGGTGGCAACTCTCAAGGGTGATGGTTCTGCGGACAAATACAAAGGTTCTTCTCCACGACCTCCCTGAGGGAACTCCTCTCCCATTTCTTATATTCTCCATTCTTAGAGACTAAGATTCTTGTCCTCCTTTTTATTCTACTTATTCTGGGGATCCCTTTTTTTCTGTTCTGCCCAGTTTATATTAAGCTATTGAGTCTCTAATCACACACAATTTGGAAGGAGATATCTGTGTTCTTTAGAACTGCTTTCGAATGACTTATTGCTTCCTTCAATGACAAAACATTCTGACTAGTCCATTGACTAACTTATTCACTTTCCAAACCAACAGATTTGTCTTAATTTTTCTGTGCTGGGAAATATAAAATCATGCAAACCAATATCCTCCAGGATAAATTACTGGAAATTATGACAGATTTCTCTCAGTCTGTGCTTTTTAGCCATATAGTTAGCTACAAAATTTGGCTCACTGTGCTATCCAATGGGGTAGCCACTAGTCGTATATGGCTACTGAGCACTTGAAATTTGGTTTAGTGCAACGGAGGAACTGATTTTTTGCTTTTAAAACTGTAAAATTTAAATAGCAAAAAAAAAAGTCAAGGAATGTTTAATCTACTTGGGAAGGTAAGACATGGACATTAAAAGAATAACTTACTTATATCCTATGGTGCTTTAAAGTCCATTAAGAGTCCTTGCCCTCCACAGAAGTACTATTGAACAAGAAATTATCATAACCCCTTGAACCAATTACAGTGGTCACCCTTTATCCATGGTTTCACTTTCAGGGATTTCAGTTACCTTAAGTCAGAGGTGGTCTGGAAGCAGATGATCCTCCTGACATTAACAGTAACCTAACCCAAAGTCACCATTCCTACATGTCACTTCATATTGCGTGGAATTTTATCATCTCACATCCTCACAGGAAGAAGGGTGAGTATGGGACAATAAAATGTTTTGACATTCACATAACTTTTATCACAGTATAGTTATAATTGTTCTATTTTATTACTAGTTTTGGTGTTAATTCTTAGTATGCCTAATTTATAGACTTTACCATAGGTGTGTCTGTATAAGAAAAAACATACTGTATGTTCAGTACTATCCTAGCTTCAGGCATCCACTGGGGGTCTTAGAATATATCCCCCACATATAAGAGGGGATTTCCATACTCCATTTTCTTCTATGGACTGTTTGTGTCCTCCCCAAATTCATACATTGAATCCTAATCCCAAATATGATGGTATTAAGAAGCCCTTGAGAGGTGATTAGGTCATGACAGTAGAACACTCGTGAATGGGATTAGTGCCCTTGTAAGACATCCCAGAGAATGCCTCTGCCCTTCCCCTTTGTGAGGACACAGTGAGATGACTGCCTTCCGTGAGCCAGGAAGCAGACCTTCAAATCTGCCAGCACCTTGATCTTCGACCTTACAGCTTCCAAAACAGAAATAAATTTTTTTCTTTCATTATTTATTCAAGACTTCTCATATATTATTTAGAAAGTTTTGAAACTTTTATTATATAGGAACTTTGCACTTTTTTTAAAAAATAAATTTCTCTTTTTATAAGCCATCCAGGCTACAGTGTGTCTTATCAACCAGAATGAACCAAGACAGTATCTATTTCACCTGGAATAGATATTTACATCCTCTTACTAGATTAGCTGGTATAAATGTACCACTTAAAGATAATCTGGTTACCTCAATGCTCTCTCCAAGAGACCATGGCCTTTTTCTGCTTTGGTCACCACTGAATCCTCACCTCCTCAAACAGAACCCATACTCAGTAAATGAATGAACTGACTCAATCTAAGGCTGCTGTTCCGTAAGTGCCTCTGCATAAAATAAACTTCTAAGAGTTTACAGCAGACATCCCAGTTTCCAATTAATCCTTCACCTTGGCCTGCACAAACTGAATTAATATACACATGCCCCATATCCCACCCACCCAATGTTAGCCCTTTCCAGATTTTTCGTTCATAGCATTCCAGATACAAATTTCCTTGTATGTTTTTAAAACATACTTATTCCCTCCACTTATTGAACTCTGACTTCCTTCATTCCTTTAACAGACACAATACAGCAATTGAGGTGTATGTATTTGGGTTGACATCAGATTATGCCTGTGTATCAATGCATATTTTTAATAGGATGAGGAGATTAGGCTTTCCCAGCCTCGGCATTTATATAGTTCCTCTCAGTATATACTTTTCAGCCATACTATGACCTAGAAATTTTTGCTCAACCCTTCTCCACATAGAAGGTCTCTGAGCTTTCTCCTACTGGTTTTCTGCGACATAAAATAAGACATAATTGACCACTGAAGGCATGACCACATTCACTGCATTCATAAGGTTTCTGTCCTGTGTCAATCCTCTGTTGTCTCCTGAAGGTGCACATCTGGCTGCAGGCTGTCCCACTAGAACCACATTCCTATTTGCTAAGAGCCCACTGATGTTTACTGGCGTCTGACAAGCCACCGAAGGCACGTGCATAGTCACTGTATTGACAAGGTCTTTCTCCTGCATGGCACCACTCGTCTGTGATAAGCTGTGATTCTCTGAGGGAGGCTTTTCCATTTTGACTGAATCTCCACATTTCTCTCTTGTGTGTATTCTCTTATGTTTAACAAGGCAAGACATGTAGGCAAAAGCTTTCCCACACTCACTGCAGATATAGGGTCTTTCACCTGTGTGAGTTCTCTGATGGACAATGAGCTTTTGCTTTGTGGTAAAGGCTTTCCCACAGTCACTGCATTCAAAGGGTTTCTCTCCCGTGTGAATTCTTTGATGTTTAATGAGACCTGACTTCTGGGAACAGGATTTTCCACATTCACTGCACACAAAGGGAGTCTTTCCTGTGTGAAATCTTTGATGTGCTATCAGGCATGTCTTCTGGATGAAGCCTTTCCCACACTCATTGCATATATAAGGTTTCTCTCCAGTATGGATTCGCTGATGTACAATAAGATTTCCCTTCTGGATGAAGCCTTTTCCACATTCACTGCATATATATGGTTTCTCTCCTGTATGTGTTTTCTGATGTATATTGAGCCGTGATTTCTTCAGGAAGGCTTTGCCACATTCAGTGCATTCATAAGGTTTTTCTCCTGTATGTGTTCTCTGGTGTTCGGTGAGCATGAACTTTCTGGAGAATGCTTTCCCACACAGGCTACACCTGTGGGGTTTCTCTCCTGTATGAATGATCTGGTGATCAGTGAGCCAGGACTTCTTGATGAAGGCTTTCCCACATTCACTGCATACATGAGGTTTGTCTGTTTTTTGCGTTTTCTGATGCTTGATGAATTGGGACTTAGTACTAATGAGTTTTCTGCTTTCAGGGAATTTAATTTTGGGATGAAACTGTTCATTAATAGCATGTAGAAAGGATTTTCCACCTCCAGTAAGATCTGCGGGGTTCTTTATTTCATAGCTTCTGCTCTGGTGAAGTAAAGTTAAGTTTGGTTTCATAGTTTCTCCATGTAAGTCACACATATCATGATTTTGCCTTAACACGAAACGAGCTGTGCTCTGATGAACGTTATTTTCAAATGTTTTCTGTTTGCGCCATCGTTCTAGGCTATTCTCCATGATTTCATTTTGTAAGTGCTCTGGCAAATAGTCATCAAGTTTCCAGGTTCCTAGAAAGGAAAAGAATAACGAATTCATTTATCATCTTGATTTGGACGAAAAACAATTAAAAGACTCCCTTGATGTCATATGTCTATTTGGTGATGACTCTGAAATTAGTATCAATACAACTCCTGCACATCAGATAAAACAGTAATATAAGTAACCCAAAAGATAAAAGTTTGTAAAAACAAGGTTGGATCATTCACAATAAATAAATACAGATTTGACTGATTTCTAAATGAGGCCTCGCAAAACATGCAGCGCCTGTGAAATACACGCAATTTCCCATGAGCAGCAGACCACTGGTTGGAGGGCCACCTCATCCAAACTGGGGAGAAACAGACTCATTCACGTCACAAATCCTTACTGAGGACTACTGTGCACAGGACATGGCGCTCATGCTGGGGACACACACAGAGTCCTCATGTTCAGGGAGCCCACACTGTAGTTTGGTAAAAGGACACAAGGAAGACAGCTGCACGTTGTGAAAACTGGTGTGAAGGAGCAATGGAGACGGAGAGAGATGCAGGAAATCAGGTGACACTGTGGAGGAAGACAGGCCTCCCTGGAGGATTCACTGTCTCAGTCAGCCTTGGGGAGCAACAATAACGATACAGGTGGGCTCCAAGCACATGTCACCTACAACATCCAAAAGGGAACCCCTGGTTTCCCATCCCAAATCTCCTCCTCCACATGTCGCCTCCGACACAGTGAATGATGACACCTCCGCTCTTCCCTTTAATCAGGACAGAACTTCTCAGCACCTCCTGTCATCTGTGTCTCACTCACTCATAACCAGAACCGGACCAACACCAATGCCTTCCACCCTCCTGGAAGCCAGTCACATTCTCAATCTACAGCAGCAGCCTCCTACTTGGCTTTCCTGTTCCTGCCCGGCCAGCTCCTGTCTGCTTTCTAGACAATAGCCAAAGTGATCCTGCCAAACATAAATTATATCGTGTCAAGCCTCCTCCACTCCAATCTCCCCAATGTTTTCTCATCTCATGAGGAATAAAATCAAGGTCTTACCATGTCCATGAAAGACCCTTATGTGACCTGCTACCCCAACCCCCAGCCACTACCCCGTTGACCTTCTTTCCAGTCTTGCTCTGTCTTCTCTTCATAAATTCTGCAGACCACACTCCTGCCTCAGGCCTTTGAGTTTCCAGTTTTACTTGGGAACATTCCTTACCCAGGGAGCCTACTCACATCCCTCATCTACCTGCTCAAGTGTACCTTAACATGGATTTCCTATTCCTCAAATCACAGGCAAGGCCAAGCACTCATTATTCAGACATGCTGTTTTAATGTTCCTTACGGCCGTTTTCACTCCCAGAGCCTTACCTTCAACCTCCATCCATTCCTTCCTCTCACAAAGCCCATATTTACTTAAATGTCGAATCTCATCTGCCCTCTGTAATGACTACATCCAGAACGTGACCAGCACTTCCCCTCCACCCATACCGAAGCCAACCAATCTGTCGTCATGTTGTGCAACAGCCTCCTGTATGGCACCCCTGCCCACTACTGTCTCTTGTCTATATAACAACCAGAGGGATTCTTTGAACACGTAATTACTTCCTGTCATTCCAGTACTCAAGAACTGCTCATGTTTTCTCATCTTACTAGAAATAAAATCATGACCCCTTGAAATGGATTACTTGAATGATCTTACTTTCCCTTCCCCCTGCTGTTACTGCCTCTTTGATCTTATTTCCATCATGTTCCCGACAGCACACTCCACTCTGTCCACACAGCTCCTTAATGTTTCTCAAACACATTCCTGCTTTGGGCTTTTAAATTTGCTTTGCTCTCTGCTTGGAACACTCCCAATCCAGCAGCCTGCTAATTTCCCTCACCTCTTGGCTCTAAGGCACCTTATCAGAGGGGTGTTCCATTCCTAAAGAGGAAACCAAGCCCCTACTATTCTGTTATAGTGACTAAATTTTTATCACAGTACTTTTCACTCTCTGGACATACTATTTATTTGTTTATTTTGATTAATTTTTTTAAACCTTCTCTTAGAATGAAAGCTCTTGCTCTATTTGTATGCATTTTCTTACTGCTCCTACCCTCAAGCATACACGCTATCAAAAAATAATTTTTAAAGGAATGAATGAAGGAAGCAATCACATGTACAGAACACAGTGGGGAGAGTGTAGGAGAGATGAAGAAACTATTTGTGTGAGCAAGATAATATATTATGGAGATCACAGAAAGAATTTCATGTCATGTGACAGGTAATGTGGTTAACTGGGACTTAATGTCATCAGAATATGATGGAAAAAAAATAAAAGTTTCAGGGAAATGAACCCAACAGTGTAACACCTACAATGAACGAGAAGAAAGTCCAAAATTAGTAAATACACAGAGGAATTAAAGTAGGCATGAGTTATGATCTGACTTAGGTTAGAATGGAGAATGGAGGATGCTAAAATATCTTTTTAGCTAAAATTCATGAACAAGAGACTCCTTTAAAGAAGAGAGCTCTGCATATATGGAACATTTGAGGTAATGTCTGGATGGCCAGGATGTAAGATGCACAGGAGTATAGAGAACCTAAACTTACAGAGGTTTTCTGGGAGGGAAGAGGATGAGAGTTCCTTGCACTTATTGGGAACTCGGGAGAGTTGCTAAGGGGATAAGTGAATTATATGGAACTAAAGTCTGCTGGATCACTTTGAGGGGATGTCAGTTTGAGAGTCTCCTGCAGGAAACAGAAGAAGCTTAGCTTATTAGAATAAAGAAACTTTGAGGCGCTTAGCTGGCCCAGTGAGAGGAGCATGAGACTCTTGATCTGAGGTTGTGAGTGGGAGTCCCACACTGGGCGTAGAGATTACTTAAATAAATAAAACAAGAGAGGGAGGGAAGGAGGGAGGGAGAAAAGGAGGAAGGAAGGAAGGAAAAAAGGTTTGAAAGGTTAGGAGACCAGATAAGAAAATGGAAAACAGAACCTTTGGAGGACCTCAAAGTGAGGACAAGGGCCCAGTGAAGACCAGTTTACTGTGGGGGCACAGCATCCAGGATGGGAAGGAGGTTAGGAAGGAAAAATCAACATTACCAATGGGACAGAAAGGTGCAGTAGTTAGAAGACAGTGAGGAATTCAAAGTTTTCTGTTTGGGGAGAGGCCTCTGGACAGTGGACATTTATGGCAAGGAAGGTAGAAGAGTATGAAGAAGGGAAAGATCTGAGAATCCCAAGAAAAAGAGAACTATGCAAATAAGCAAAAAAAAAAAATAAGATGTACATAAAATAAAAATGGAATAGATCCCAGAATAGGTAAAAGGTACATTTTTCTCTAAATTCCTATGAAGAAAAAGAGGTCACACATCAGGAGAGAGATGCAGGGAGGCACTGCCTACCTATCCTCCAACCCTCTCACAGCTGTGCCTCTTATCTGGCCAATTAGAATATGATTTCCACACTCTGGCCCCCTCCTGGTTCTCTGACTCACCTGAACGGGTTTGACAGGGGATGTCTTCTTCCACTGTCCATGTTGGTTCTCTTTGATCCAACTTGGAGAGCACATCTTGCTTGCTGATGTGAAAACCTGTTTGTGGGAAATGACAGAAGACAGAAGAAGGCTTGAGGTCTGGGAAGACCACAGAATGTTATAGTTAAGGACATTATAAAGGAAAAACATACTGCACTGTGTGTCTCGTCTACTGTTGATACTCTACTACAGTACTTTACTTCTGACACCTGCTATGTGGGGTTTTCACACACCAAGGAATTCCCGTGACACCAAAGGACACTGACTGGGTGTCCAACAATTTAACTCAATTCTGACATTCTCCACCTCGTGATGGCTTCAAGGGGTTCATTCCCACAAGACCGCACACGCTCTCCACTTCCCAGAGACTTCCCCAGTCACAAGTCCAAATTGTTTCCTGGGCTTCTGATGGATCAGATGTTCCCATGGCCCCTCTTCAGATTCAATTAATTTGCTGGAGCAACTCACAGAACTCAGGAAAAGTTTCCTTATTACATTACTGGTTTATTATAAACTCAGGCACAGCCCAGTGGAAGAGATACATAGTACAAGGTATGTGGGAAGGGTATGGAGCTTCCATGCCCTCTCTGAGCACTTTTCCCACACCTCCTTTTGTTCACCAATTCAAAAGGTCTCTAAAACTGTCCTTTTGGGTTTTTATGGAGATTTCATTAAGTAGACATGATTAATTAAATTAAATCATTAGTCTTTGGTGACAGATTCAAACTCCAGCTCTTGTCTCCTCCCTAGAGGTGAGATGGAATTGAAAGTTCCAACCCTCTAATGATGATTGGTTCCCCTGGCAACCAGACCCCATCCTTAGGTTATATAGTGGCTTTCCAAAAATCACCTCATTAACATAAACTCAAATGTGATAGGAAGAGTCTTGTTATATAAATAACAAAAGACACCCATTTTACCTTTATCCTCTTATAACTTAGGAAATCACAACTGTTATAGGAGCTCTGTGCCAAAATTCAGGATGAAGACAAAAATACATATATTTCATATATATGTATATGTTATATATATATATATATATACGTCATCATATATAGATATCACACATATGTACAAAGTAATGGCTTGCACTCAGGAGAAGGGAGAATATACCCATGTCTCTGGAGCCAGGGAGGAGACTGAGAATCTCCCTTCAGAGCAACACAGACACTACAGAGCTTTAAGAAGCTGAGAAAGGAAAGGCCACTGATGGGGACCCTCTAAGTGACACTGGGGAGTTGTCCTCACCCACTGACACCAGGTTCCTATAGTTCTCCAACATCACATCCCGGTACAGGTCCTTCTGAGCGAGGGCCAGGAGCTGCCACTCCTCCCAGGTGAAGTCCACGGCCACATCATCAAATGTCAGGGATTCCTGTAATAACAGTGTTTTCTAATGAAGTGATATCCTTTTGATGACACAGAAGAAATGTTAAAATTTTTCTGCTTATTTCCACTCTATAGGCTGTATCTAGATTTCTAGCAGGGTTTTTATTTTGACACATTGTGGAAGAGTAAATGCCTGATTAAATATTCTGTAATTGTGCACAGTCATCCATCCATTCATCCAATGAGAAATTTCTATAGCACGTAAAAGTTCAATCTTCTTGTTAACCTAGAAACACCATCCATGTATATATGCAGACAAAAGATACATGTATGTATACTTTTCAGACTAATGCAACTGATTTCTTACAGGCCTCTACAACTCTGTTAGGGAACAAAGGAAAGAATAAAACAAACCGAAAGTCACCTGGGCCTGGGTCATTTGTTCTGCTCCCTGAAAACAGCTGGCGGTGGGGAAGCTCTGCCTTGTGTCTTCTGGATCTACTTTTAGTTTCTCTTCAGAAATCTCAGTCTCGGTCAGGCGTGCCCCCATAAAAACTGACACCACATCTTGTAACTTTTTCCTCCTTCACATAATCCTTTTGCTCCTGGGGCATCAGGACCTGTGGGTTGAGGAGACAATGTAGTCTGAATGGTGCACTTCCTCTGGGTCCAGACGCTGTCACTGCTCCTGAGCACTCACTTTAACATGTGCACACAGTACTGCTAAGTGTCCCTTTATTTGGTGCCCCAGAAGACTTATTCGTCTGACCGATAAAGCCTGAGGTTCTGCATGCAGTGGAGGTGTTCCTTCATTCTGTGATGTGTAAGTGGGGTGAGTGTGACACGAGAAGAAGAAAATGAGATGTACCCCAGCACCATGCCTCAGGAGAAGGGGAATCTCACACAGACCAGTTTTATAAAACAAACCACACAGAAGGAGAGGATCGGGGCAGTGTTTTCCTTTAAGCCATGAGTGCTCAAGTAACTCTTCAAGGCTTCTGAACAGTCTGTGAGTACAAGCTCTTCAGTTTGAAAACCAATATACTGGGCTAATAAGAGGCATTGTCTTACAAGTTATGTATTATTGCCTCATAATATCTTAGGAAGTTTTAAATGGATAAAGACGTAAGTACAGAATATTGTAAATAAATTAGAGTGGTAAATGAAACTGAAGTGTTCTCAGAGTCCTGTATCATTGGAGAAGAGTGTAAAAGTACTAATTAATATAAGAATTTGACAAAGGAAGGTTCCATGCTGTATGTTATCTCTAGTGTCATGATGAAAACTAACAACTGTCTTAATGTACATAATTTTCATGCTAACAGAACGGGGAAATATAATGACAAGAAATTCATCCAAAACAAGGCAAAAAAAAAGTAAAGAATAAGGAACTGAGACCAAGTGGGGTAACTACAATGCACTTAGATGACTGTTTTTAAACAAAACATACTAAGAATTATATGAAGTATAAACAAAACAAGGATTTCAGTAAATTAAACACAAACATCTCAAGATAGTCTGACTGGACTAAAATTTAAAACCTAATAACATGCTATTATGGGTTACATGTCTGAAACGATGATATGGAAAGCTCAAGAACAAAAGATTAGAAAAAGATATACCATGGAAGAGTAACCATACACAATCTGTGTAACTATATTCTCAGACAAAATGGACCAGAAAGCCCATTATTTCTCTACAGAGAAAGAGAAACAGGTTGAGAGGTTCAATTCACCATATTATAAAAATTGGCAATTTTTATTCACTTAACAATATAGCCTTGTAATGTATATAACAAAAATGGACCAAAAAACAAGCATAAATCAATCATTCCAATAGAAGACTTCAAAACACCTCTCCCAGTAACTGACAGAACAGCCTATCAACAGACAAAATCTATCAACAGCATTCTTTTTTTTTTTTTTAAGATTTTATTTATTTATTTGAGAGAGAGAATGAGACAGAGAGAGCATGAGAGGGTCAGAGGGAGAAGCAGACTCCCTGCCGAGCAGGGAGCCCAATGTGGGACTTGATCCCGGGACTCCAGGATCATGACCTGAGCCGAAGGCAGTCGCTTAACCAACTGAGCCACCCAAGCGCCCAATCAACAGCATTCTTTTGAAGAACATCAAAAGTATCTGGTAAGTAGGAAGAAATATTGAAATCGTAAGACTTAAATAAATAGTAAGATGGACTATGACAATGACTCAGAAAACCAAGCATTTTATAGATGTCATGTCTCCGGGGTGCCTGAGTGGCTCAGTCAGTTAAGCGTCTGCCTTCAGCTCAGGTCATGATCTTGGGGTCCTGAGCCGAAGTCAGATGCTTAACCAACTGAGCCACCTAGGCGCCCCTAAGGTTGTCTTTTAAAAAAAAACGATGCAGGGACAATCAGATATCCAAGCTGGGGGTGAGGGGACAAGGAGATGGCTGAACCCCACCTCACAACATATACAAAAATCACTGTAGGGGACGGCTATCAATGTTAATGAAAGATGCAAATCAGGGGCACCTGGGTGGCTCAGTTGTTAAGCGTCTGCCTTCAGCTCAGGTCATGGTCCCAGGGTCCTGGGATTGAGCCCCACATCAGGCTCCCTGCTCAGCGGGAAGCCTGCTTTTCCCTCTCCCACTCCCCTTGCTTGTGTTCCCTCTTTTGCTGTGTCTCTCTCTGTCAAATAAATAAATAAAATCTTAAAAAAAAAAAAAAAAGATGCAAATCAATAAATCTTTAAGAATATAGGAAAATCTCTCAACAATATTAGGGTATGGAAAGTTATTTAACATGCTACATAAACTATACTATAAAGCAAATGATATTCTACTGGAAGAACTATAAATGGTACAACCACTCTGTAAAACATTCTGGCATCGCCTATTTCGGCTGAAGCTAAACACACCCTGAGATACAGCAATTTCACTCTGAGATATACATCTAAGGTATACCACCCTTCACATCAAAATAAGGGCACATTTGAACCAGAAAACAGACAAGAATTTTCACAGCAGCATTATTCCTAACAATCCAAACTGCAAACAATATGTTTAATTAATAGGAAAACCTGCCAAATACTCAAACCATGGAATGCTATGTAGAAACTACAACTTTTTTTTTTATTTGACAGAGAGAGACACAGTGAGAGGGGGAACACAAGCAGGGGAATTGGGAGAGGGAGAAGCAGGCTTCCCGCCGAGCAGGGAGCCCGAGGCGGGGCTCGATCCCAGGACTCTGGGATCATAACCTGAGCTGAAGGCAGACGCTTAATGACTGAGCCACCCAGGTGCCCCAGAAACTACAACTTCTATCCAGCTTGCAAGCTAAGAATGCTTTCCATGTTTTTAAAGGATTGTACTACAAAAACATAGGAGCATAAGTGAGAGACTTTCACAGAATATGCCAGACTCTTATTGCAGAGCAAAAACAAATACACCTATGTGCAAAAACATGAATCATTCTTAAAAATATTG